GTGCTTTAATAGCTTCTGTCTTTGGACCATTAAGACCAACATGATGCTTTTCATTATATGACAGCTCATATGTAAACTTGCAAGCCGTTTCCATTGAACAGTATTAGTTTCGCTGAAATGGCGAAATTAACTGGAAAGCTTAGAAATCAAGATGGCAAGAAATTTTAAAAAGAATGGGAAATGTTTATTATGTATTTACAAAAGTATTGTAAAGAGGTTAATGCATTGGCAAGATTTAAAGAAATAATACAGGAAAGCTGAGGTAGAAAAATAATTTTAAGTAGAAATGATATGCAGTTGAAAAGGAAATTTAAGGAACCCGGGGGGAGTCAAGAGATTCCCTTTGGATTTGATATTGTTTTTGTGTATATTTTTCTTGGGTTGTGGTTGTTGTTGTTTGTTTTTTATTTTTGTTATTTCTGTTGAAAATTTAATAAAAAATATTATTTTAAAAACAAACAAACCAGTATTAGTTTGGATGATGTATATTGAATATAATAAATGCCTCCTTAAGGGAAGTTGTGCTCCATTTGGCTTAGGAAGTGAAAGCACTACAGTGGTACCTTAGGTTAAGTACTTAATTCGTTCCAGAGGTCTGTACTTAACCTGAAACTGTTCTTAACCTGAAGCACCACTTTAGCTAATGGGGCCTCCTGCTGCTGCCGCGCCACCGGAGCACGATTTCTGTTCTCATCCTGAAGCAAAGTTCTTAACCTGAAGCACTATTTCTGGGTTAGCGGAGTCTGTAACCTGAAGCGTATGTAACCTGAAGCGTATGTAACCTGAGGTACCACTGTACTGAAGTCTCTTCCTTAGATCCTTATGATCAGGGTGACTAGAGGCCAGAGACTAGCCTTCCTTTCCTAGACCAAATGGTTTAGCAGACTGTGACCTGCCCATGGTGTCTATTTCTTTCTCATATGCAGGTCATCAAGCAAGTATGTAGATAACAAAAAGCTTAAATCCCAAGAAGAGTAGACTATTCTAGTTCCCCATATTGACATCTTACAATTATTCCTTTGCAAATAAAATTCAAATTCTTGCCAGACTACTTTTTAAAATTTGTCTCTGATTGTGTGTGCTTTTTAAAAACCAAATTGTACAAAAATTGCTCTGTCCACAAGCTCTGACTTCACCCCCACCCTATTTAAAAATACTGTCCAGATAGTTGAGAATGGCTTGCCACTTGCTTCACACTTTAACATAGTTTTTCAGTTACCTGGGAGTAAGTCCCATTTGACATAATAGGACTTACATCTTAGTAAGCCCCATTGAACAAGCATATGGCTGATTATATTGCATGTTGTTAAATACACCATTCAGTAAAACTAATTTATTACATTAGAACTCCACTAGAGGAAGCTGTTTCCATGAGATTAAGCTTTGAGGGAATCTTAACTTCTTGAAGCTGTTTCATAGTCTTAGACTCAATTTACAGTTTGCAAAGGAAACATTCAAAAAAGAAAAATAGGTCTATCAATGATTATTACCTGTGACAGCTAAATGTCATATAGTCAATAGTAGCATATCTCTCAGTACCTTCTATAGAATAGAAGGCAAAATTATTGAATTGAATCTCCTTCTTCTGTGTTACATTTTAGATTGTAATCTACTCAGGGCAGCAATCTGTTTTGCTGTGTAGCGCTATACTTGTCTACTCAGAAGTAGAGTCATGAAAAGGTCTGCAGAATAGGAGAGGAGGGTAGTTTAAGAACTGGGTGTAAGGTGGAAAAGGTGCAGAGAAGTTGCAATGTGTGGGAGGAGGAAGATACTGGGTTGTACAAAAGGAGGAGGAAGCATGGGCACCAGAGTAAAAACAGAAGCAAAATGGGGCTGGAGAACAAAAAAAGAGAAGCAGTCTCAGAATAAGGGGTTGGAAAGGTGAAAAGTGAGCTGAGTAATTGCATGGAGTGGGAAGAGAAAGCTTTAGGAAGTTGATGTGGGGGAAAGGTAGGGCGGCTGGCGCATTTAGTAATAGCAGTTAGAACAGTAATAGCCAGCACTTAGAAAACCTTGCAATTAATGAATATTGATCACTGGTGTAAAATAGTCTGGCAAAAAGCCATAATGGAAAATGTATTGCAATAAAAAATAAAAAATGAAGGTGGTGTTGTAAATAAAAATATACCCTTTTCCCTTATGGGGTATCCAAGAGCCCATATAGAGTCCTTACATAGGTTCCCTATTGGTAGGAGAAAATAACAGAGGCCAACCAGAGAATATTGAGAAGCAAAGCAGCTAGTAAGCTTGATCTTTATTGATCTGTTGCAACAGGGTACTCCCCTAACACGCAGGAGAGGAAGAGGACCCCCAAAAATGCTGTGCAAGGGCTTATAAAGACTTTTGAAATTCCCATTCTCTAGATCAAGACCACCCCCAGAAACATTATGCATACATCACAGAAGGGGTGTAACCTAAGACCACCCCTCAGATACATCCCAGAAAAGGCGGTCTAAAACAGAACATTTGCATGTTGTTTTTCTCCTGTCGCAGTTTATCTCCTGCCTGGCAAGTTACTTGATTGGATTGCCTGGGGAGCCTGGCCATTCTTTTGTAGTGGTAAAATACTTATTTCCTGGGCCAGGTCACAGGCTCACACCCTATTCATATCTTAAATGTGTCCTTAAGACAGGATTTGTGAGGAAAGAGACAATGGGGAGACTTTTCCAGTTTGACCTTGCAGAGAAAACATTTGGTCAGTTTAGGAATCAAATTGGTTCCAGGTTGGTCTTCCTGTGCTGACCTATGTATGTGCGGTTATGAATATTACCATATATCTAAGACCATAAATTCCTATCACAGTGGCAAGGGGAGAGAGAAAAACGATACTGTTTTTTACACTGTGTGGTATGGTTTTATTAAATATACAAATGAAACAATACATGGATGAGAAATTCCTACAGCATATTGCAATATGGCATAGATAAGCAGGCACTGCTCATTAGCTCACTTCTACAGTTCTATTTTCTGAGTTGATTTATTGAAGAATTCATTGAACTGGTTTAGTGTAATAACTTCATAATTATGTACCGTAAAACAATATGTTTAGTATTTACCCTCCCCCCATGACCCATTTTTTTTGTCAGCCGTGTCACGTTTTATGATTTATGTGTGTACAATTTTGTAAAAGAAGAATATATACACACACAGAGAGAGAGGTGGTGTTGTTGTTTTTTAAAAAAGCAGTGTATAAAATTTATGAAATAAAGAATACATGACTGTGCTGTATTACCACTCCTCTTTCCTACCTCTTCACACCTAATGCATGCAAAGTCTGGGCCACTGCAGTCACCACTTTTCCGTGTGTGATGTTGCATCCATGCAATATCCTGGGTGCTTTTCTGCCACCTTTATAGATGCAATGGCCTTTCACTTAATCCTATATGTTTCATTTTTGCCTTGCACACTAGTGGACTGTGCCTCTCATTTTAGCTGTTGGGAAGTGAAGGGGTGGGGAATGAGGCCACAACCAGTTGGGAATGCCCCGGTCACTGAGTGTGTTATTATTCAGAGTGCCTTCAGACCACAATGGAAATATAGACAACAATTTGTAACATTGCTCAAGTTCTGCTTTTGGGGTAATGTTTGAAGAAATGCAGTATCCTTACAACTTTCTTCAGAGCTCATTTCTGAGCATTTTGGCACACTGTATTGAATGAAGGTATAAATTGCAGATCTGAATGATTTGCAACTTCCAAACCAAACACAGCCTAGCAGACTTAATATTATGGCCTGCTCGATGGCTGGCAACTCCTCTCTTTTTTTCAGTTCTCAACAGGCAACACCAGGAGGCTGTTTAGGCCCTTGGTAGCTTGTAGTCCAGTGGTGTACAGGGTTGATTTAGTTGGCTTGTGAGCAGCCCAGTTCCCAAATGTAGGAGGCAAACATCCGTCTAATGTTACCCTCATTAAACCCCTTTCCTTGTGTTTTTAAACTGCTTTAACCAGGGCTCTTTTTCAGCTGAAACTCAAACTCAGTTCCAGTACCTCTCAGGTGGGTGCCATTGCTATTAAAAGAGAACAAGGGAGATGTTCATAGTGAGTTCTGGCACCTCTTTTTCTAGAAAAAATAGCACTGTAACCTGCCCTGGGATGTTACGGTGAGGGTAAGAAATATAATGCAATAAATATCCCGACATTGAAAGGAAGCTGGTAGCTGAAACACCAGTACATCACAGAATAACAGATTTGTAGAGTTGAAAGGGAGAATAGGGGTCATCTAGTCCAACCCCCTGCAGTGCAGGAATCTTTCACCCAGCCTGGGACTTGAACCCATGACTTTGAGATTAAAAGTCTCATGCTCCACCAACTAACGAAATGTGGTCTGTACTAGCAATGGAAAAACTTAACACACCATCTACAGATATTAAGAGGAACACCTGGAGTCTATGCAGTCTTGCGAAGACTGTGATATCTTTCTGATATATAGTTTATTTACACACGCATACAATCTGAACTTGCGATAGAGGGGCTCACAGCATTAACACCCCACAAGTTTCTCCCATTGCCAAAGCAGCTTTACATTCACAAAGAAATTCGCCATGGCTCTCTGACCGTCTGCTGCATTTTTACAGATGGCCACTTATTCTCTCAGTGCTCACATTCCAGCCAACTGCAATCCTAAACAACTACTCTCCTTCCAACCCTGGTCTTTGTCCTGCTAACTAACTCAGAGCTGGAGGAGGGGCTCCTCCCATTTTTCCATCAGGCACAGAGACCCTCTCCATAGCTTTCGTAATGGACCATTGCTTTTCCTTTGACTTTGGACAATGGCTGATCTCCCAGGTGATTTCCTGAACACAGGAAGCTGGTTTGACCTGTATTTTAACACTTTGCTAAATCCAATATCCGGCATCCAAGAATTAGAAGGGGGTTCCAGGCACCCCACAAACTCATAGCAATACTAAGGGACAAAGCAAAAAATGACATGGGTAATTGGGCGTAGTTATTTCCGCTTTTTTTGTTTTGTTTGCTTTTTCGTGTGTGTTCTTTTTAAAAACAAACTTGAACCATGAGGATAGAAGATCCTGTTCTCCATGCAATATGTGTTATTTTTGTGCGCAAAAGCATGAACATGAAAAGGAAGTACGTGTTGCAATATACTCTCTAGAGTCAGCGTCCAGACACTTGAGACAAAATTTGAACCTCAAACCTTCACAGCGGCAGATGTGAATGAATAAACAGGTAAACGAATTGTTTTTTTTTTTCTTTTCTAAAAAAGGTAAAGGAAGAAGCAATCATTTTTACTAACAGGCTTAATTTATTATACAGTATTAGTTTTGACTGCTATTTCTTTTTTTAAAAAACTATTTACGTGTAGTGTATTTATGATTAAGTGTATTGCAAAGTCTAGCTCTGTTACTCAGGAAGCTGCTTTGGGTGGAATTCAGTTGCAAAGTTATTTAACTAGAAGGAGAGAATGTACAATGGACATTGAAGGAATATAAAAGATGAGTACTTATATGTTCCGAACGTATTTAGTGTATGTGCTTCTGGGTAAGGGGTTTCTGTGTGTAGTAGTAGTAGTAAGAGGCTAATATATATCTATTTATATGTATGCAGGCATCTGGATGCTTGTGAATTTTTACCAGACACAAATTTACCATCCACTTGGGTCAATTTCATTCCCAGAGTAAATAGCTCTTCCATATATTAGCAAGCATTTTGCATTAACTGTGATAATTTCATTCATTAATATGACAAATTCTCTTTGAGAAAATACGCCTTTTAGAGCAGTGTTTCCCAACCTTTTTTGGGCAAAGGCACACTTGTTTCATGAAAAAAATCTCGAGGCACACCACCATGCCAGATGGGGAAAGGTCACTTTTTACTTATGTAAAAAAAAAAAAATAGTAACAGCATAGAAGGTAATGGTTAGGCTAGCATCCCTCTTCCAAATATGCTAGGTTTTTATTTGCAGGGACTGTTCTACATGGGAAAGCATTCAGCACTGTCATTCTCCCATCTGCCATCTGAATTGGTACTATTCTGGGTCAACTTACTCTGCTGCATGTGTAGATGAAAATGGCACCAAGTGTGGGGGAGGGGGCAGAACAGGTTTCAGATACAGGATATTAAGCATACACGTACTTCAGATTGAACTGGTTGCTTGCTTTGCAAGTTTTCATTTCCCAAATGACTGCCTTGGCAAGCGCAATACCTACCAGGCTCAACGCTGGTCTCGCGCTGCCGCTTCCCGCGCTCTCAAGGACCCGGGAGGAGGAAGGCATGAAGGGAATCCCGAAGGCGCGAAAACCTCGTGCATGCGCAGGCCTTCCGCCTGCGACAGCCCAGTAGGCCGGCCGAAGCGAGCGGCGATGGGATGTGGGAGGGAGCTTGCTCGCCGCCCCGCGTGTGCCTATGTGGGGCACGTTACAGCCCCGTGACGTCAGCGCCACGCAGGCAGCCAGGCAGGCAGACGGCGAGAGCCCCGCGCTGGGCGGCCTCTCCTCGCCACCGCCGCCCTGCCTCTCGCCGCCCGACTCGCCCGCCTCCCTCCAGGCAACATCTCGCGGCACACCAGGCAACGTCTCGCGGCACACTAGTGTGCCGCGGAACACCGGTTGGGAAACACTGGTCTAATGATGACAATTTGGCCCTCTCTGAAGTGCTTCTCTGCAAGATATGGTAGGGTGTGTTACACAAGTAAACACTTGGAGGGTATGATAAAGAGAGCATTCCAAGAGTGACTTGGGATGCTATGAAGATGCTGCAAAAGTGGGCATGTGATTATTGCACGCCTTAAGCTAATGCTGAATACCCAAGAGTGTACAACTGGACTGCTGAATCCTAACTGGGTGTACTGAAAAGATGCTGGATGAGACCCAGACCAATAGTACCTGCAAAAGCAGCGTTATTAAAAGCAGCTTTCCCTTTGAACATCTCTTTGTTCAAAGTGCATCTGAAAGCCTAATGACCCACTGGTTCCTTAGGAGTGAGCTTGTTGGACAGTCCTTTCTGCCTGTTGGCCGTTAGCCAACGACCCCCTCCTCCGCCTGAATGAAATGTGCCCCGTGGGAGCGTTGGGACATCAGAACCACGAGTTATAGTTATAGGCACGTCCCAGGGCGAAGCAGGTTTGGAGGGAGGGGGGTGCCTAAGAAACCATCGACGGGGTTGGCGAGGCGGCGTTCAGACTGGGCTGCAAAAAGCAGCTGTGTAGCCTGGCCATAGGAAAGGCGAGCAGCTCCTTTTATTTCCTCCCTCGCAGCTGATTCCCCTCTCTCCCGCCACCAGATTGTGAAAAGGCTCGGAATTCAGCCTGAGGAAAACCCCAAGTCCCCACATTTCTAGTTTCCCGCGCCCTTTAAAGGGCGATACGAGCCCCACGGCAGGCAGGCAGGCAGAGCTGGGACGGGGGTTTCCAGGGGACACGGCAGCTCCTCGAAAGGCTTCTCTCGGCTGCGCTCAATCCTCCTCGGAGAGGATTTCCCCTCCGGTCCCATGCGCTCGTTTGGGGGAGCCCTCCGGCTGCTCCCTCTCCCGCCACGCAGGAGCGATGCCTCTCTCTGGCTCTCCCTCCGCGCAGGCTGAGGGAGGGAGGGAGGGGCGCGTGTGACCCGTCTCTGCTGGGAGACCAAACCCAGCGAGGCAGAGTCGCGCGGAGGCGCCCAGGCAGCGCTGCCGGCTGCGAGGAGGAGCGCCAGGCAGCAGCAGGAGGCGCGGCCTCTCCTCGCCGCCGCCGCCTCGCCGCCCGACTCGCCCGCCTCCCTCCAGGCAACATCTCGCGGCACACCAGGCAACGTCTCGCGGCACACTAGTGTGCCGCGGAACACCGGTTGGGAAACACTGTTTTAGAGAACATAATTTCTCAACACTATACAGTGGTACCTCGGGTTACAAACACTTCAGGTTGCAAACACTTCGGGTTACAAACTCCACTAACCCAGAAGTAGTACCTTGGGTTGAAAACTTTGCTCCAGGATGAGAATGGAAATTGTGCGCCGGCAGTGCAGCAGCAGCAGGAGGCCCCATTAGCAAAAGCGCGCCTCAGGTTAAGAATGGTTTCAGGTTAAGAATGGACCTCTGGAACGAATTAAGTTCGTAACCCGAGGTACCACTGTACAGCAGGTTTAAGGACCTTAGACAATTTCTGTCAATCTAAGGAAACATAATAATTTCCCTAAAACCCACCGCCTAGCAAGATCTCTGAATATTTATATGCACTGGATAATAGTTATTGTGCTCCTCCCACAATTTTAAAAGCATCCCAAAAGTATGCTAGATTCTGTATTTTTTAAAGAGCTTATTTGAAATTCAGGGGCATGTTTGGGGAAGGACAGTTAATAATACAAATGAGGTCAATGGACATTCATTACCTCTAGTAGTTTACATGTCCCACAGAAAGATAGGGGAAAATTCTGATTGACAGGAAAGGATCTCCCATGAGCCTTTGCAGTAATCCTGAGGTGCACAAGCTTACTAATTGTTATGTGGGCATCTGAGCCCTCCAATGCAACTCACCTTTACAGATAGCATGGGGTTTGGTAGTTGTTCTCTCCACACACCCAGTTCATCAGGAACTTGGAATTGGATTGGATGGGCTTCCTCTGTCTACCTGACCAAAGAAGATGTCCTGCCAGGCGTATCAGTGGATTGGTTTTATTTCACACTGTTTAATTTATACCAGGAGTCCGTAAGAATAATCTTTCCAGTCAGAATGGCATGCAATCCTAGGGAGGGAAGAAGAGGAGAACAGGCAGCCATCTCTTGCAGTTGGCTCACTAACTGTCTTTACTAAACTTAGTCTGTAAGAAGGCAAAATCCTCTCACCACCATGTTTGCTCCGAGCCTCCTTTTGTGGCACACTGTGATTGGGAAGGCACTGGTTGGTTGGTGGTTTTACAGGGGAAAGATATCTGGAAGATTGTGACTAGTGGTGTGGCTGTCACTTCTGTAGGGATGCCCCATATCCATAGTCAGGGCTTACCCTACCACTAGGCAAGGTGATGCGAGTACCTCAGGCAGCAGATGCTGGAAAGAGGGCAACGGAGTATCTGTTTCTCCTGACCTCTAACCTTTCTCCTTTATTGGAGGATAAAGCTGTGTGTGTACCATGTGGCTTGTCCTCTGCTACCTAAGCTAGCCTGCTGCCCTCAGGTGCAAAGGTGGATGCTGTCCTGTCAGCAGTGCTGAAACGAGATTCAGTGGCCAGCCCGCTCATCTTCTATATATGGAATGGTGTAAAGGGTGTAAATTTTGTTTTGGCCTGACCCTATCAATGCTTGATGTAGGGACACCATGTGGAAGGTGTGGATGACATGAGGGAGGTACACACATCCCTCCCTTACATTCATGAGCATTGGCATGCATGTATCTTATTTTTATTTGTTTTATTAAAATATCGACATCTCACTTTACAGCGTCCTCACCATGGTGTCACCCTGGCACTGAACATGTAGGTGGAATTACTTCTCAAGGGTGCATGTTGGCACGCAAGGCTGGCATGTACAATCCTACTCCCACCATGTATTTATGAATACAATATGTGAGATGGGCATGTGCTACTCATGGCAGTGCCATCAGCTCCCAGAGAGCTACTGGAATTAAAGCAAAGCTCTGGTATTGTTCCATTCTTCATGGATTACTAATTTCTTTCCAGGTGTAATTCAGAAGAAAATGGTCTTGAGCTTTTCAAGCCCCAAATGGTCTAGGACTGGGATATCTCATGGACTATCTTGAGCTATCCTCCTGCAGAAACCCACGCAAGTAACTCAGATCAACTGTTCCACTGCCATTTGATGCACACCAGGTGAGCACAAGAGGCAGCTTTTTCAGCCATGGAATCAGGGCTATGGAATGCGTTCTCCAAGAAGGCCCACTTGGTTCCATCACTGGAGGCCCTTGAATTTTAAAGGTGCTGCTTATATATGGGTACAGCTTATATTCGGGCCAACACGGTATTATTATGGAATAGGATGTCCCTATTTTCATTGGAGAAATGTTGGAAGATATGAGATCTGCCCTCTAAAATGGACTGCTTCACCCTTCTTAAAAGTTGCGGTGGCTCTACCAATGGCCTTAGCTGTTAGTCACTTGAACACGGGTCATGGGGATATATTTTTGTGCACACTCAACACTTGTAGCATTTGCAGACTCACACAAGAAGCAACTCTCAGCATAAAGCATATAAGGAAACACTTCACAACAGGAAGTGTGTGAGTGGGCCAAGAATTTCTTCAACCTCCTCTTGGGGAGCTTTTAGAGTCTGTGGAAGCAGGGCTCCCTCTTCTTTTCTCGGTTACAAAACAGCAGTGAGGAAAGACGGTCATGAAAGGAAACGTATTTCACAAGAAGTGAGTTCCTGCAAGTGAAATGTACAACAGGAAAGCAAAAGTAAAGAAAATTGGGTTTATTTCCTGACTTCATCATGTGTGCAGCTACTCACCCAAACTACTCTCATCAGTAAACACATGGTGAAAATACAGCAAGCTGCAAAAAATGTTTGCCCCCATTTCCCTCTTTCTCTTCTGTACTCCTTGACCTCTGTATTACCTAAAATGGCCAGCACACATTCCTGCGTATTAATCCAAAATAATACGATTCTCTTGTTTTTAGAAGCATACCTGGATCTCCAGTGTAGAATGACAATGAGGCTGAACTTTAGGAAACAAAAAAGAAATGGTCTTCGCTACACAGCTTTCTAGCTCAGTGAACCTATGAAATATGCACATCAGGACAGAGGAAATAGTATGTGTCTACTTCTTAGGATGATTTGAGACCAGGGTTTAATTAATATTATAAATGAGTCACTGAGAGATTTCACGTGGCCTGTTAGCAACAGGTTTCTTAAAAATGTAACAGATTTTCTCTGGAAAGCGACAATCCGAATTAAAGGCACAGGGTGGGGGAATACAAGTTGTGAATGCGTAAGAATGCAGTGTCATGTGAACAATGGAGAAAAACAACAACTTGCAAGCATGAGGTGTGCCAATCCCATTATGAACACCCATTTAGAAGCACCCTGCTCTTAAAATGGTTTCTGGTGATAATTAGCAATAAAATTTCTGAGCGTCTATGTGCACTTTAAAAAATAAATAAATGCTGGAACTATTTATGGAAAGGAAAATCCTACACAATATAGGAAAGGGCACCTCTTGTGTATAGAAGAGTTGTGGGTTTTTTTGGCAAATGTAGCTCTTCATGGCATAGCACTGGGTGAATGAGAAAAGTTGCACCCACTACCAAAAGAACACGATTCTGGTCCTCTGTCAGCTCAGCTTAGATGCAGCCTCATGTTGCTGAACCTTATTAACTTCTGTAGGTGAGGATACACGTAACTGATTCATGTATGATAATAATCAAGTGTTCCTTTGGTGACAGTCCCTATATCTTCACAGACACTAAGCAAGCCTTCAACTTCGTGTCGCATTTTCCATAGCCCCTGGCTCATATATATCAATACGTAGTCTGAAGCATCATCCATGTTTCAGGTTTACCTTCTCCTGAGCGAGTCACAATAATCCTACTGAGAGATTGTTGTGTTAATTAGGATTAGAGAACTATTCCACCTGGTCCCAACAGCACAGCATAATGGCAGAAAGTACCCATGTAAATCTAGAGAAAGGTAGGTAGTGTGGACTTGTGTATGATCCCTGTAATATAATGCTTTGCCCCATCTAACTTCAGGCATTTGCTGCTGAATTTGTCGGTTCCGCAGCAACAGATGTTGCCTCTCCTCTCTTGTGGAGCTGCATGTTTTTGTGCCACCTCCTGTCCATCTTCTGCAACTGCATCAGGCATCCAATTTCTCCCTATGTCATTTGCATGTTGGGGTAAACCAGATGTGATGCCATGAAGTGTGAAAATACCCAGTGTTTATTAGTAAAATGGTCCACTGCACTAATCCACTATCCCTAATGGTTATGAGCTTTTGTGGTATTTACTTTTTACATGCTTTTAGGTATCCATTTTTTAAAAAACAAAACACCACATTTGTGTAATAGACAGAGGTTAAAGTACATATATTACCATACTGCTTGCTTACAATGAAGGATGTTACATATACTTTTCCTTTTTAAATCTAGAACTAAGACTCCACCAGCTTTCAGTTCTTTTCAGAAGAAGGATGCCTCAAGATATGCCACTCATCCCAACATCGAAAGCCTTGTTCCCTCCTGTAAGGCCTGTGTCAGATGACACATCTGAGATGCTTCGAAGCTATGCACTCCAGGTCACTTTGTCTACCATCTTCTCAGTTATTGCCTGCATCAGCATCCCACTCAACCTCATCTGCTTGTGGTTCCTGTGTCGGTATTCGAGGCCTTGGACTCCCACCATTGTGTTGTGCATCAATCTGGCCCTTGCTGATTTTGTCTACAGCATGATCCTCCCCTTTCAAATAGTTTACCATATACGGGGAAACAACTGGCCCTTTGAGGATGCTCTGTGCCGGATTGTCACCGTTCTGTCCTATGGTAATGTGCACTGTTCCCTTTTGACCATGATGTGCATCAGCATTGAGCGCTACCTGGGAATCGTCCACCCTTTGCGCTACAAAGCCATGAGATCCATGCGAACCTCTGTCCTGACATGCGCCCTCATTTGGGTGTTTGTCTTACTGCCCCTCGTCCCACTCATGATGACCAACCTAACAATTCGTGTACAAAACCTGGATATAATCACCTGCTTTGATGTTTTGCCTAAAGAGATGTTTGATGACAAGCCAGCACGCTTCATCGCTTACTTTGGCTCTCTGGTATTTTTCTTCTTTTTCCTACCACTGCTCATCATGGGGTTTTGCTACTTCTCAATCATCATAACACTTCTCCACTCCCATTCCACCCAACTCAGAGAAACTAAGAAGCAGACTGTCTGTTTGATAATAGTGTTGCTACTGGTGATCACGGTTTGTTACTTGCCTCACATTATCATGTCAATTATCCATTACGTCTTCACTATTCAGAAAAAATCATTTTATTTTGAATATAAAATTTCATTTGCAGTAGCCACCATCAATTGCTGCCTTGACCCATTGGTTTATTACTTTGGCTCCAAAGAGTTTCGGCGAAAGATACAGAAGAAGCTCTGCAGATGCGTAACTGTTGGGGTCAGTGAAAATACTCCAATCTTTTCAGAGCATGATATCCAAATAACACCAATGCAAAAAGTATTGAATAGATAGTCTGTATTGCTCTGGAATGTAATAAACTTTGCCAGTGCACTGTATTGACCTCAAGAAAAATCAGGAGCTAATTCATTGCAGAACCTCAACTGCCAAGTTACACAGAACTATTTTGCCAAACGTTTCTGGAAGATCAAATGGACTACAATTATCACACATGATTCTGTTTCTTTTGAGTAAAGGCAACTGATGTCAAAGTCCAGTTAGACTGGTGCAGCTGAAAGACACCTGTCTTATTAAGAGACACCTGCAAATGTAGCATGAGGAGGAAAGCATGTATTTAACCACTTTTGACTGTGCAGAATTTATGGAACAAATATTAGTAGAAATATTTGGTTGAATGGAAACAGACATTTGTTAAGACTGCCTTCCTTGAATGTCACAAATTACCTGTGCCACCAAGTCACAAAAGAATGGAGCTACCTGGAGTACAGATTCTCAGTCATTAGAATGATCTTGTAATTTGTTCTTTGTTATTGATGTTGGTCTGACAAAGCTTTGTATGGACAAATCTTTGTATAAGCACCTGAGATGGTGCTTGTCATCTCAGGTAACAATATTGCAAGTGCCATTCATAAATACTACATTCATATAGTTTTAATAAAAGAATGTTTATTGTGTCTGCATTCCAATCTTAAGTTAATGTTCTTCTTTGCTGTCTTTGGAATATTCAAATCTGGGATAACCATGAGAGATCAGGGTCAATTTACACAACCAGCAGAATCAAGTGACAAAACTGTTCCTGAACCATATTATTGCTATGGAATGAGATAGGGTGGAATCTCAATATTGTAGAGAAAGGCAACTATTTCTTGGAGGAGTTCTGTGCTGAACTCACTTAAATGTTATTTGTTTGCTAAAAGGTTTGAGCCCAACACACAGGCTTCAATTTGTGAACAGTTACTAATTGTGCTTGGATAACTTCAGGCTTTTTCTCACCTGTCTCCAATTTTGTTACCCATTGCTTGGTAGTCCTGTCATGTAGATGGTCTTCATCAGTGTGGACCAGGGGCTGATGAATAGCAGTCTGGCCTTCAGCATTGCCTAGATACAAGACTTCCTGGGAACCACATGTAAGCTGCACTGAGTTCCCTGGAGGGAAAAACAGGTTATAGATATAATAAATAGCAACCAGACATACCTCCAAATGTATATGAAAGTCATTTCTGTAGAGGACAGTCATGTATGTTATATCAACCAAGCCTCATGTTTCATTGTGATCCTTTTTATGTATTTATAGCATTTTTACCCCATTCTTCAACCACAAAGGCTCTGAGATTGTGGTCCTCAGTCTTATAATCCAGAAGACATGACTAGATCCTGGGGCAGAAATTCAATTCAGTTTGCATTTAAAGGTGAACGTACCTAATTCACACTTTATGAAACCTACATAAACTGAGAAATACATGAAACACAACCATCTATCAAAATTTGTGCTTCTCTGAATTTTGCAATACAGTTCTCCAACCAAGTAATGTACATATACTAGCAGGCTTCCTCAACCTTGGGCCTCCAGATGTTTTGAGACTACAGTTCCCATCATTCCTGGCCACTGGTCCTGCTAGCTAGGGATCATGGGAGTTGTAGGCCAAAAACATCTGGAGGCCCAAGGTTGAGGAAGCCTGTATACTAGGGTAACATGTTCCATAAAAATGCATATATTGATGAAAATAACATACAAAAATGCATTATATTACAAGGAAATGCTGTGCAAAAATGTGCATATTTGGGGGAATTACATTTGGAAATGTGCACATTAGGAAGAATTTGCACTAAAAAGTTGATGAATTTTCATGAGGTTGAGAGATAGGCGTGGGGGCATCTGTCTCAATTTCTTCTCCTAAAATAGGATACTCTGCCTCAGCAGTGGGGAGCTGGACCCACTCAATGGGGCTGGTCACTTGCCAATCACATGACAGCATCAGGTGACAAATTCAAAGAGGCTTACAGTCAAACTACACCTGCAAATGGAGAGGGAAAATGTGTGCTTGCAGGTACAGTTTGAATGCAAATTAGCTTCAAAGGTGTGCATTTTCAGGCAAGGCCTTTGCAAGTGCTGAGGCTTGCAAAGCCCTTGCCTGACAGCATGCCCTGAAAGGAGGTCAAAGTGGGTCATGGGCCAAAGAAAAGAACTGCTTGGCCTAAATAGGCCTGTGGGCTGATGGTTCTCCACGTGCTGCTCTGTATGTAGATGCCCTTCCCTGGAAATCTCCAGTGTTGAAGACTGCAAAATGTTCCCCTAATAAGCTTGTTCTCATTTCTCAACTGTTCTTCCAGTTACTGCATTTCCCCTAATTTTAAAACTACTTCAACCTTATAGTAGTTTAATGCTGCAATCTTTTCCGTGAGGTATGCTGGCTAGATGAGAAAAGGACAGTTGCTCAACTTCTTACCCTAATGCAACACCAAATTAGGCTGATTTACTGAAATGATGAGCAAAGATGGGCAAACATACTTGTCTACTCATACCAAAACCAAGTACACATCCCCCCTCCAAAAAAAGGTAGAGAAGAGAGAGGACCACCAAGCAGCTGAATTCCCCTTTCTCTTCCCTGTCAGTTCCACAATTTCCTCAAGGTGTGTGTATAGTGGGGCATCCTTACTGTAGGGAAAAGATAGGCCTTCTCCTTGGGGGCAAATAACACTCATCAGGGCATAAGAGCCCGATGGAATTAGGCCAGTTACTTATCTAGTCTAGCAGCTGATTCTCACAGCAGCTAGCTAGACACCTATGGAAAGCCGTGAAGAAGACCCTGAGCACAAGGACTCTCTCCCCCTTTGCAATTTCTTGCAACTCGTAATTGACTTTTCACACACAATTTCCTGTTGAAAATCAGGGAGCTTATAGTCAAGCCATGGTCCCTATCCTAGCCTCCACTGTGTGGTACCCTTCACTGAAAGGGGTGACCAGCAGAAAGGAAGAACAGTAGGAGACAAGGGTGCAAATCCCATTTCAAATTTACTCCATTGTGGCAGCAGTAGCTAGAAATTGTGCTGCTCAATCTGAATAGGTGGCCCATGGCTGGCTGTATATTTTGGATGCTTGCCCCTAATTATGACTATGTGATTATGCTCTTAGTCTGTCAATAACTTCTATCAGGGGAAAGTGGGCTGCTGCTGTTAACGCCTACAGAATAAAGGGAGGGAAAATTTGACATTGGGACATGGTGGGGGAATACTAGAGGCTCAGGTGGGCTTATTTGTAGCCTCCCCACAATTATAAAATAACAACAATAAATGAGCTGTCATAAGTAAATGAAGTCAGTGAAGAAACTGATTACCCGATAATTTCTACCCCTCTGTTTTAGTGTCATCAGAAGATAAGATCCTCACTAACCCATGAACTAATAAAGAACGGCATTCCCTTTTATAAGGCATCCACTCAACACAGACAGCCAATTATTGTCACCAAGTATTTTCCCTGTGGTCTATTCCACGTGTTATAGGACAACAAAAAAAGTCCAACTTTTTTTCAGAAGAATGGAAGAGTAACACAATCTTCCTCATTGCATTTTGTTTGATTACAACTCCCATCACCCAAGACCGCCACCTGAGATGGGTGGCGATGATTGGAGCAGTAGTCCAAAAACATCTGGAAACCTAAGGTTGAAAAGCACTGTGCTCAAGTGGGAGAGAAGGTGCCTGAAGGTCAATATTTGGCCCCTTAATATTGTTACTGCTTAACATATGATGAAACCAGTATTGTTGCTGCCAAGAGGTGGAGAAGTGGTCACAGATAACCTGTTGTGCTGGACTAAAAACAAAAAACAACAGTATATGAATTGTGGGAAGGTAGGACTAGATGTGATAAAAGAGGATGAACAAAATGTATGAATAAGTCAGGCAGTAAACTGACTGCCAACACAAGAGATGACTCTACCCATGGATATCACCAGATGGGCAGCATCGAAATCTGATTGATTATATTCTCTGCAGCCAAAGATGGAGAAGCTCTATACAGTCAGCAAAAACAAGACCTGGAGCTGACTGTGGCCCAGATCATCAGCTTCTTATAGCAAAATTCAAGCTTAAACTGAAGAAAGTAGGGAAAACCACTGGGCCAGGGACGACAGAGGGCAAGATGGTTGGACGGTGTTCTCGAGGCTACCAGCATAAGTTTGACCAAGCTGCGGGAGGCGGTGGAGGACAGGGGTGCCTGGCGTGCTCTGGTCCATGGGGTCACGAAGAGTCGGACATGACTAAACGACTAAACAACAACAAACCTGACTGCAGCCATTGGTCCACATATAAGTCTGATTGATTCTCTATCACAATCAGTGGTATAGTGGTAAATTTTGAAGAGGACAAAGTTCATCATAGCCACACCCTCAATGAGAGTCCAAAACTGCAGGCAGAGGTATTATTCTATATACACACCAAAGATAAACAGCACACAGCATAATATCCAATTTATTAGGATCACCTTGGACTGCAATTCTATATGCAAAGTTTCCTGTGAGTATGCTGTAGTAAACTCAGTGATGCTCATTTCTGTTTCATATGTTAGTCGCTTTATCTTACCCAAAATGACTTACAACTAACCAGACAGACAATCACCATCTGCTCACACAGATATATTAAAACCAAGGGAAAAAGAAATACATTAAAAACATTCCTCCCACTTTTAAAAGGGCACAGATAGTTAAGGGCCAAATGCCTGGTTGTAGGGGAATGTAGCCTACATACCGGTATATACTGTGGTACCTCGGGTTAATTCGTTCCAGAGGTCCATTCTTAACCTGAAACTGTTCTTAACCTGAAGCACCACTTTAACTAATGGGGCCTCCCGCTGCCGCCGTGCCGCTGGAGCACGATTTCTGTTCTCATCCTGAAGCAAAGTTCTTAACCTGAGGTACTATTTCTGGGTTATTGGAGTCTGTAACCTGAAGCGTATGTAACCTGAAGCATATGTAACCCGAGGTACCACTGTATAATGATGGTGTCAGGCAAACCTTCCTGAGAAGAGCATTCCACAAATGGGGAGCCACTGCAGAAAAGGACTGTTCCCATGTTACCACCCTCCAGACCTCCCTGATAGGGTTAACTTTGATGAATTTGGCTAATTTGGCTAATCCCTTTATATTCTTGACTATCATGGACTGGCTGGGTGCAGAAGAGTGGTGAAAGGCACCAGCTGGGGAACACCCATGAGAAGAAGGCTCAGAGCCAGGGGATTTGGTGGTGGGACAATGATGAGTGGTCAGAGGGAGAAAAGAGAGCAGACTGGAGACTCAGCTAGACTGGTAAAGAAAAAGCACTTTATATGTGTTGTGTATGCAATATAAAACTGTGACACAAGATGGCGCTGTGGAGTCCCGTCTTTCCATACCGGATTTCCCTGTATGAGTTTGCAATGCGTTTAACTGAATCGCTTCTTTGATGTGTCTAGATCCAGCCTGGGAGGAGGAGGTGTCGGAAGCTGAAGAGGTAAGCCGGGTTCAGTGAGCAGGAAGAGGCTGTGGCAGAGAGCAGTCCAGAACCAGAGGCAGAAGCGGAGGCTGGAGAGGAGTGGGGCTAAGAGGCAGCGATGAGTCAGGCTGGTGAGGAAGCCAGGCTGTCTCCCC